GTCAGCGGAGCGCCTTGATCCCAACCATCCTACGCCTTTGGGATGAGAGAGTATGCAGACGCCAAGCCGGGCCTTATCACTCAACATCAGTCCTCTGCTTAGGGGATTTTCTGCTGGGATATTCTGGGAGCAAATTCTTGCAGCCAGGTTCCTAGATCATCTGCAAAGCCTGAAACCAAGAAAGAGGAGGCTGATCACGCGGCTTACCGATGCCCCAGGATTTACAATTCCATGTTCAACAATCACACAGGGTTGTGTGTGTGTGTGTCCATGCAGCGTTGTGGTTTTCCTTCCTGTGATGATTAGAACTGGATTTGGAGACTTACAGGGAGAAATTGTTTGTCTCTTGTATTTTTTTCCTCCTATAAACTCATTTGAATAGAACTGACTGTGCTCAAAGCTGTGTTTGGTGGCTCATTTTTTGCTTGAGTATATGTTTTGCTGCATTTATGCTTCCTGTTTGAGTCTGTGTGGTAATAATGACTTGCAAATCTAGCTGGCAGCTCGAATTACTCGTCTTACTGTCACAAACAGACCAAATATGGAGCCAATGGTGTTGAAGTGACAATAAAGACCGTGCAGCATTCAAGCCTCCGTCAGTTGCTGTATCTATACCATCCTCTATGATTAAGCTGAACATGAAATAACATACAGCAAGATAACATCTATGCTTGTGCTTTGATTCCTGCGACAGCAAACACGCTCATTAACACACATCTAATCAAAGCGTCCTTTTAATAGCTGAACCTTAGGCTGCCCCCTCTTACTCACACTTAAAGGCACCATTAGCAACAGGATATGCTGGAGGTGACAGATCCATTTACACTGTACTCTGTTTAAACCTGGTTTTGAGACACTGGGACCTGATCATAAAATTTTGTGAGACTTCTGCACGGGTCCACTTGGAACAGCTGCAACATCATCAACAAGCTGTTTTTTTATTGGTAAATTTATCAATTAAGGTGCCAAGAGGATTTTTGATATGCACATATGTCATATATAGATTTCCATGAGTCAAACAATTGGTGATGCTGCTTTTTTTAATATAGTAGTGTTTTCCTATAGTATTGTACTATAGCACATTAGTATTGTATCTCACTGTACCATATCACACAGGGCTGTCTCTTCATTTGAACTCTACTGAAGGGTTCAAACTCATAATTGTACAGTATATCAGAACATCAGGCCACATGGAGTAGCTTGCCACGTGATCCAGCAGAGGGCGCTCTCACCATGACCTGGCCAACCTATGAACTCTTGACCTCATTAAGCTGATACAGTACTGCTATTCTACAACGGAGGCCATGGTCAAGTAAAGCTGCACTGAGCGATTTATCACGACGGCAACAAATCTGAGAAGTGTAGTGCGGAAATATTTTGAGACCTACACCATAGCACATCTTATCACACTGCATCGTATCTTATCGTATTGCATCTTATTGTACCTTCTTACATTCTATTGCATCTTATTGTATTTCCTCTCATTGCATCACACCCCATCATATCATATTATTGCATTACAACACATTATTTTGCATTGTATCCAATCACATTGTATCGTATCGTATAGCATTGTATTGAATTTATGCTATATGATATGATGTCTCATACTATATTACATTATATCGGGCCATTTCTTATTGTTGTGTGTAGTTTCATATCATACTATATTGTTATGTATTGTGTGGCACTAAACTAGACCATATGGTACAGAATTTAATTGTGTTATAACACAACATATCAAATTGTATTCTGATGTTTCCTGTCTGCTCCTTAAAGCATCCACACCTATCCTCCAGTTTAAGATGTAAAGAGAGTGGGAAAGTGCTGTTACCTTACAACAGCAGCAGCAGCATCCTTTTTTCCGTCTCTGCTCACATTTTCCATCTTGTAATGGGGGAACACATTTATTTTTCCTCTGTCAATTACTGGTGTCGATTCAGATTAGCACTTCCATCTGCCAAGACATCAGGGGCATCAAATCCACACACGTCAGATGTCAGCTGTTACCACTAAAAGGCGCTAATCAAGAGAGCCAAGACAGGAAAGAAGGTTTTACATAAATCAATACTTAATGTAGCTGCTGATAGAGGACAGTGATCAGGATGTATCATCGTCTTGGTTAAAATTTTGAAATGACAGGCAGAGGAAAGACAAGACAAGACAGGCCTGTTTAGTGGAGAGCAAGAACGAGAAAAAACAAAGGACATATGCAGAGAGGGATTAAATTTGTATCTCTATGCTGCAATAATGGAAATACCTTCCTGTACAAGCTATCACAGAGGAAAAATAATTCAATGATCCATCAGAAGATGTTATTACGTTATCTAGCAGTTAATTGAATTAACATTTTATCACATGATGTCCTCACCTGGACAGACTTATAAGTCTGACACATAATTGCTTCATGGCATATACACATAGATACACTTATGCACACACACACACACACATGCACACACACAGACTTTCATACAATAAATGGATAAATAATCTCTCTGACCTGTACTAGGAGGACATCTGAGGCCTGAAGCAGTGAGTGTACCTGCAGTAGGCTCATTTATTTGAGTTTGGGCCAGCACCAAAAATATGTGCAACAATAAATCCACCCAGGCAGGCATGGTTACTGCCTTTTCTAAAAAAAAACTCACACAATGTTGTTCTGAATTATGGTTGACAACAGAATAATAATAAACATTTGCAACTTCATAAATTTGTCTTTTTTATATCAGGTTTGCCACAGGAAAATATGAAAAAAAAATCCCTTTATTATTCATTCAGCGCCAAATCATAACTGAAATTATCTCAAGACACTACCAAAAGAGCAGGTCTTGATTGTACTCTGTGTTAAATCATTTGAATAGACCCAACACTGGCTCACCATGAACAAACATTCGGCAACATTTGGCAACAGTGGCAAAGAAAAGCTTCCCCTCGGGCAGAACCAGACTCATGGTGAACAGCCATCTGCAGTGATTGCACGGGCTGTGAAAGTGAGATAGAAAGAGCTGCAGAAGGAGAGAGGTGGAAGGCGTCAAACAAACAGAGCAACAACAAAATAACACAACATGGGAAATAGACTTGGGGGCTCCAAAGCCATGATAATAATGATTGATTTATTTGTAATTGTGGAAAGAACACTGTAGTTATCATGATGGACTGTAAAAATTGAAAAGTAGATTAAAATGGGATTAAAAATCGAAAAAGAGGAAATTCAATCTCAGATGGATGAATTGGGACAAATCAACAAGGACAATTAAACTGAAAGACTATTATCTCAGGACAAATAGATAATTAAAGACAGTATCAGTTGTTATTTTATCAGAGGAGGTATTACCTTACCCAACCCTACACTTGCAAAAAACGGCACAGTTTTGAAACCAGATCACGTAAGTTTTAATGTGTGACAGCTTCCTATATCGTAACTACATCTCTGCCATTTGTAACAAACCACATCGTGTGAAAATAAGGTGGAAATTCGCTGAGTTATGATTAATTTAGTTGGGCGTACCTACCTTCCTCATTACAAATAAATGCTCTGGGAGTGTGCGGGGGACCTATCAAAGATGGCAGACAAGCTGATACATCAGCTCCAACAGGCAGCATCAGCCTATGAGGCATCTACGTATATTATGTCTATGGTCAATAACATGACCGGATGTAGGACCACTAAGGGCCTCCATAACTGTTGTTAATTTAAAGCTCTTTTGAGGAACTTTTAGTGTCTGTCAGTTTTGGCGCCCCCTCTGGACAAAGCAGTCTTTGATTATTTTGTCCTCAAAATGCTAGAGTAGTGTCTTCTGACCAAAAATCCCATCCTGCTGAGTTCCAGCAGTCAAATGTGTAATTTATTGTGGAAAATATATTCAAAAAAGATGTTTCTTCAGCTGCTTGGCTGACATCTACCTCCTCATATAGATTTCAGGCATTGAAACTAACAGTATTTAAGTCCCCGTGGTCTTGCTTGCTTTTGTATATCATGAAACAGCATCAGTATGAATTTCAGTCTATTTCATAAATGTCAGAGAATTCCTCACAGGAGCTATAACTTGTTTTTCCTTTTTAAACTCTCTAACATATTATTGCCTCTAGCTGGTTCTGCTGTATTAGACTACAAAAGTTATTTTGATTCACAAACACTGTAAAACTCAGCTGTGAAAGGTGATTTTAGATAGGCTCCTTATCAGGATGTTTTCATTTAATTTCATCCAGAGGCAGACGAATCGATCATCTTTCGCTTTACAGAAGGGTATAAAACAAACTTCCCAATACTGGTTCCTTGTTATGCTTCATATAATGTAGTAAGCCCTCTCACCTTACTCCCTCCTGAGACATTTCGATGCATTTCTCCTCTCATTTCCTCTAACTTGCCTCTCCAGTGAAAATGTGCCTTGATTGATCGTGTCAATTACAGAGAGCTTATTTCTGGGGAGCAGGAGGGGCTGTGAGGCTGTTGCTCTTAAACAGTAGTCAATGGATGTCATAGATTACTTAAAGCCTGTTAAAGGCCTACTGCAATTTGTGAAGCCTAATAAAGGTGAGGACAGACAGGGGCATCAATTACAGCTAGCAAAGCTATTATACGAGACCCTTTCAGTGGAAGGCAAACAAAAATCTGAGCAGAAACCAAACACACAGTGTCAGTTCATTTGAACTGAGTATATTTTTAAAAGTGCTGAGGGAAAACATTTTATTATTGAGGAACATTGTGCCCCCTTTCATGAAAAGAGGAGCTTAAAATGAGTGATGGGGAGCTATTATAGATGTTATGAGATAAAATGAATAGTTGAGCGGCCTTTTATTAGCATACATATAGAGCTCTCATAAAACTGCAACGTAAGGTTAAATGAGGGTCCATGTGCTCAGCCTTGAAGGTAATTATTTTCTGCTCATAGTATAAGGTTGCCAAATTTCATTATAGAACTTTTCTGCCTCAAAGGACTCGTTTGGGATTTTTTCAAAAGCAAAGATATTGTTTATGATTTCACAATGAAAAAAGCTTTTTGAAAATACTCTTCACTGTACATTTTTATTTACACAAGGTCTGTCAACAGAAAAGCAAGTCAGAATGTAACATTCAAGGCACAATTCAATCCCTCCAAACTGAAGTAGTTTTACTCACTAAATGGAGAGGAAATAGTGTATAAAGAACAAGATCAACAAAACTTAAATGCAATCACGCTCTGTGTGATTGAACACTGTAACTCAACACGGCACTTCCTAGAACAAAGAACATACCCACTATGAGTCAGATATCCTTTCAGTAGATATGTAGTACAAGATATTGATAACACTGACATCTTTCCATCCTTCAAACACAAATGTCCACAGAATTTAAACATCCAGAAAGAGGGTTTTCTAGTACGAATGGCTTGTCTTACACATTTTCCTCAAGTGCCAAATCAGTTAATCAGATTATTTCAGCTTCCAAGAAAAAAATGTTGTTTACTCAAGTGGCACAAAGTCAAAATAACAAAGAGGCACCAGAGGGAGCATTAAATATATTCTGCTCTTCAAAATGGTAAACAAATTCACTTCCATTTAACATATAATACAAGCTACATGACAGGAAACACAACCAAGACTCAGCACTGGAAACTTTGGTAATACATGACTCATAACTATAATTCAAGTAAATCCAAGTTTGCAGGAACATACAGAAAATAAGATTCAATTTTATCCCAACTCAGTTTTCACCTTTTTTGTACAACCTATTATGTCCTTAAAAGCAATAAATCCTTCAATGAATGGTTAACCGAATGCTACACATGCTGTTAAGGTAATATGTCCACGCTTCTTCTTTGATGTTTCCTATTTCTACATTAATTGCTCCACACAAAGAGAGCTGGACGTAGCAAACTTTTCACAAATATTCAAGTGCATTTGTAAATTAAATCTGGGCTTCAAAACATCTTTATCTCCCTTTTAGCCCACAAACACAACAAAAAGAAATTCCCAAACAATAGTGCTTCGTTTTAACCGCACACAAACTCGTGGTAAACAAAACCTTTGGTAACATGAAAACAAAAAGACAAACAAAAAGAGGAAGCAATTTTATCTCTGCTCAAAGTGTTTCTTTGAAGACAAACATGTCAGTTACATTCAAGGAGGAATGATGGCAGAAAAATCTACTCTGGCAACGGAATAGAAATGATGGTTGTTGGTCCTCAGGCAACAAACTTGTTCTTGGTGGTGGAGCCGCTCTTTGTGGCCGTGTCTGCGTGTGACTGGTAGCCAATGATGACTTTTGGTGGAACGCCTAATCTCTCCTTGTATACACGCCTGCAAGAGAGCGGAGACAAATACAGCAAATCAGCTAATACACAATACTCATCCGTGGAAATAAATCACCATTAGAACCTCTACAGGCTCTGATGTACAGGTATAACACATAAACGTTAGTGCTGTAGAAAACTAGTTTACAGAGACTGCACACTGAACCTGTATCTCTGAGAGTTTCATTACACTGGTCTGAAAAGCTAAAACATGACATTAAGGCTTTGAAACTAGCTGTAAAGCTCAGCGGGTATCTTCCACTTCACTTGTGAGGTAGTGTTTAAATCCAATTATTAAAGTATTCTTAACATTTCTGTTCAAGATTCTCAGACCATCACTAAATTTGAAGCACCAGCAGGTTACCCTATGTGTGTTATAGCGTCTTTGTTCTCGTAGTCTGTGGTCCATATTGCTATTTTATCTCCTTTGGCTCGGACGTTAATGACGGCTCCGCACACATCGTCGCTGTAGTCATCAAAAGCTTCACCCACAAGGCACAAGAGCTGCAGGGGGAAAAAAGACAAATATCTCATTATTGAGGGGCAGTTAAGAGCTAACTGTTTTTTTTTTCCCCATAGGAAAAGTACAAGTGTTGCTCATCGCTTTAACGATGGTTTAGTCACTTCTATCCAAATGTCATAGTTCGATCTGACATGACATTGCAAATACCAAGACCAGGTAAATGAAATCCAACCATCACTTATTATTCACACCTGCACTGAGGTAATACTGTTATAAAATATGCCATTTCAGGACTGAACATACTGTCTCCAACCAGAACCGGTCCAGGTCTGCCCTGCGCTGCTGCTTGGACAGAGTGATCAGCCAGCGTCCGCCTCGTCGATTTCGCTCATCCTCCCACATGGGCTCGATCCCATCCTGTATGCAAATACAGCTTTAAACTCACAAGGCTACAGATATCAGAAAATCATCCAAAATGACTAAAAGACAACAAACAAGAGTTTGCATTCAGATCAGAAAAGATACTAGACGTACTCAATCGAACACATAAAATTTGCATTATTGGATTTGACATTCTGAAAATGCTTTTGAAAGTAAAAGGACTACACTTGTGTTTTTAACCAGAAGCTACCTCAGGCAAATAGAGCAAATGAACGGAAGTGGTTAACATACTGCAGAGGAAATGTGAGGAGAAGAGAGGGTCGTAGTTAAGTACACAAAGCAGCAACACTTGAAAATGAGAAGTTATTCCACAGCTGTTACACTCGATGGAACTTATAAACATGCCCACATCCCCACATAAATTTCCAGGAACATGTTGATTTTGTTTGTTTGCAACTTTAATCATACTTAATCCTGTTTCCTGTATGACACTGCTAACTTTCCTCTCTGACAGATCAGCTAACATTAACATTTGTTTGGGCCTTTTAGTGTCTAATCAATTCATTGATGTTACACAGACAGACAGAGCAGAGAAGATGGTCTCTGCATGTTTTCCTTTAGTCCCAACCTGTTCAGCAAAACAACAACCTCGATGTGTTCAAACCCATCTTATTTGGTGAAGTCTTTCTCATGGAGGCTGCTATGAAACCCAAACTTAATCCACACATCAAGGTGTGCTCAGTCTACTCTAAAGCTTTGTTTGAACAACTAAGTGGAACACACACCTGAAAGGATCAACTTTGGGAAAACTATAATGACAGAACAAGTCTAATCAATCATAAATACACGCCTTCAACTTTTTTATTTCAACCAATGTCTACTTTCAAGGCATTGTCTCACTTGTTGAAACTAAAAAGTGATTCATTCATGTCATAATTCAGCTGTTGCTCATCATGGGAACTCTGAAAAAACATTGTCTTCTGTAATATGCACTCAGTAACCTTTTTAGCATGCGAATATATGGACTATTCTACACTGCATTGCATTTTATGAGCTAAATGTAAAACTAAGGAGCTGGCACACCAAGTCTGACAGCAATCGTATGTCCTCAGCTTATTGCAGAATCTTCCCCCAATCCACTTTATTTCTAAACCTACAACAGTATTTATGACAGATGAGACCCAGTCTCAGTCCTGACTAATGCTCATTACTTATCTGTCTTCATGGGCCCTTTGTGGCCCAAAAGATTAAATAAGGTGCAGCCGAGTGTGCATAACTTACAGCTGGTAACAGGGAAAAACCTGTCTTTTTATCCCACCTACCTGGTCGGTACATGTATTACTGTTAATGGAGGGCCACAAGTTTCCTAAACTCAAATGAGTTACTCAATGGGCCATGTGACTTTGGGTTTAAGACTCTTGGTTCTTCTATAATGAGATAAAGTGTTTTTACAATGTACAAGAGCAGCTAAGATACAGGTCCTAGCCCAAACTGATCATGTGACCCTATACAGACCACCTGAATTAAAACACATACAAACACAAGCAGCAGAAACATTGCACAGCTAAAGCAAGAATGTAACAATGTTGAAGACAAACAGTCGTCTTACCTTAAACAGTGAGTAGTCACAGCCTGACATCAAGTTACTTGATAGCTGAATGTGATTGTACAATCTGTAAGAGGTCAGAGAGTCTTAAAGTAAACATCGCCAACAACAAAAAAACAGTCTGTTTAGGTAGCTTAAGACTTAAACTTAAATAAAATGTAAAGGTTAATTTCCAGAACACAGCATGCAACTTTCCATTGATGTGTAACTCTACAGCTTTTGTACAGCAGTAGTATACTCACGCCCAGAAATCTTCAACTGTGGCGAATTTCGAGATGAGGCGCAGATTGGCTTGCCATGTTTTGCTTTTGTCATTCTTGAAAAACCAAAGAGCCCACCTGCCAATCAAAGCGCAGTCACTACAAAACAACTGCACACCAACAGTCTTTTATCAAGCTGCTCATTAAAAAAAAACATGTTTGACTGAAACTTACAAGACAACTTTAAGGATACTGGGACGAAATACACCTACACACATCTTAGCCACTTTTAAGGATGATGAGATAATCAGACAAATGCCATATGGCCAGTGGGTACTAATTGACAGAAATTCACTCTTCAGTGGGTCCATCCTTTAAGTTTCAAACAGTACTGATGCACTTGATCAAAAAGTTTTGTTATTTCTCCTTGACTGTCTTGGTGGGACATAAAGAAACTGAGATGTCTTACTTGTTTTGTAATGGATGCTTGATGTATGCTTCAGGACTCACAACCTTTTGAACAGTTGTGTCACATGTTTCCTTCTCGGGTTTTGTAGGAACTGAAGCAGACACCTACGAAAAACAAAAGAAAACAGTTTTGATTACTTCTCTCTTTTACTTTGCCTTGTTTTGGTCTTTTTAGTGGGACTGTTGGTGCTAACAAGTTAACGCCCATCTAACAAGATCTTAGTCCAGCAAATTCAACAAGAAAACACCACAATATGACAAAAGGTTGCTGAAACCTTTACTTATAGTTTTCACCAAGGAAAAGTTAAGTCAGTCAGCCAAAATTCGTGCACTTAATGATGAATTATAACCTCGTCGACGTCTTTAAAAGAAAGCATTCATTCAAACTTAGACTGTACGTGAGGTGTGTAAGTCCTCTACCCTGTCACCGTGAAGATAACTACGCCAAAATTCAGAGAAAACACACTTTATTTTTAGCTCACAACGCCTCGTTTAAAGTCCACTACGCTGTTAATCAGAGTGGGCTGTTGCTAGGTTAGGACACGTCTCACGGTTGGCAGGGTAACAAGTTAGCAGCGCGTGCATCCTCTCAGAGTTCAAACTAGGTACCAACTGACAGAGGTAACCGTCAGTTGGTGCTCTGTCAACACAGCGCTCAGAAACGCCATAATTTCCTTCACATTTGCCACATTTTTGCAGTAAACACCCACCCAAAACGTCCACATTCGGTGTAGTATCAGACTGAAAACGCCTACCGTCAGTGTAAATACAGAGAGCTGCTAAATTTCGACTAGCGACTTCTGTTACCTGCCATAGGAGGCAACTGAAAGTTGATTTCGCTCCTAAAAATCCGACTGTTTAACCCGACTCTCCCTGTGTCACCGAGGCATCGCTTGGGTATTTCAGTTCAAGCTTGTTGTATTACTTTAGAGAGTACACTCACCAACACAGCGGTCGCCATCTTCTGGAAATCACGTTCAGTTTTTGGCGTGTGTTAAAATAGCTGATTGGACCATCTGGTTCTGTCGATGACGCATGCGCAAGAAGATTGACAAAAGTACATGCTGGTCCTGGATGTGGGAGTGGGACACAGTGTCCTTTTCATTGTTAATACAGCTTGTAAACACAATAAGAAGACTAGAAAATGTCTGCCCTTCTTCAGAGAACAGCACAACCCTTTTCCTTACACTGAGAGGAACATTTTTATTGAACTGTGTACTAAATGCACTTCACAGTCCCATATTTTATCATGGTAAAAGTATTCAACATGACAACAAATGAACAGTAACCCTTAAAAAAATGAAACCACATTTGATGAACTTTGCGGATACGCTCCCAAGCTGATTTAATTATAAACACGATCATTTTGAATACTGATAGTACTGTCTGTGCAATCGGATTGTCAGGCAGCTGGCTGATCCATCGAGTTAATGTGATGCATGTTAAGGCAAGAGATGAGGCAAATCCTCTTTAATGGCTGGCTTGTGTTTTAAAAAGGTATGAATTTGATGCACAACAATATGAAAGATATCAAGTTTTTGTATAGTCGCACTTTCAGCCAAACGATCATACTTCATGCGGCTGCATTTCTTAGGTTTCTGAGACAAGTTAGCGGATTCACAAAGAAATATAAACAAATGGAACCTCGAGCACCTCTCTCCAGTTTATGAAGAAGCATAAACTGAACTTCAAGGTCATTTCAAGACTGTTTACTACCTCTGTTGGCTGAGTATCACGTGAGTATTAACTATACGGTCACAATATACACACATAAACTTTGCTCCTTCAAGTGATAACCTCATCTCAAGGCTACCACGTGGACAACAGTTAATACTGATAAGATGACCACAGTATTTACTTCACTAGTATAAAGGTTTTGTCCCGGTCAGGCTCTGGCATGCTTCCTCAGAGTGTGAAGAACCTAAAATGTCCATGACCATGGTTTACACAGCACACACGGTTACATAACGTGACATTTAAGCACTTGTGGAGTTCTTGTGTGATGTTATTCATCGCTTTTTACACATAATAAACTCAAAGCCAAGCATCTAAATAGTACTCGTATGACTCATCCTTGATTGTTTGTAATAAGCCCAGCAGCCAAAGCCCTTGAAGCACATGTGGGATTGTTAAATCATCAAATCAAATAGATGGTGAGATACAAAAAGGGAACTCAGAGAATGAACGCCAAATCAAAACCTTTTAATGAAACCGTTTCAAAAACAGGTTGTGTGCTTTTAAAAATAATGTGTCAATACTGACAGTTACAGTATGTCAACAAAACAAGTGCAGTGAAATGTACTAAGTGCTGCGACTATAAAGGACGATTGTTTCAGGGCTGAGCGTGAAGGATGTCAGTTTCAGGCACTTCAGAAGGTCAACACTGCACGGATGCTGTTACGAGAGAGGAAAACAAAAAATTGAAGGTTTGCTTGAACAAAATTTGAAACAAGACACTGATTTTAATACTTGGACTGAAGAATTTCACTTCACCTCTTTCCAGCATGCATGAGGTCAAATCCTTCATTGATCTGCTCAAAGGGTAGAGTGTGGGTCACAAACTCATCCACCTTCAGCTTCTTGTTTAAGTAGTCCTCTACCAGTTTGGGAACGCTCTCCACGCTCTTCCATCCTAAGGGGAAAGTGAACCAAAATCTCTTAGACAACCAAATTGTACTTCTGATGAGAATGGTGAAACAGAAAGATGAACGATGACTGAATAAAATACTACTGCTACTCCTAACGCTAAATACATAAACAGTTTCTTGATCTTTACTTAGTAGAAATCCAAAACAACCAGAAAAATCAACGATATTTTACGTTCTGAACTTAACAGGTTTTGTCTTGCTGTTTTCCGACCTAAGTGTACACTAAGAAACTTAAGAAGTCATACCTTTTATTTTCATTGAAAAGCCTTTTCCTCTTAATTTTAAATCTCAACCTTCTCATAGAAAAAGTAGAGCTACTTTAAACTCAACAACAACTCCTAAGTAGATGCTAAATAATCCAAAGAACCCATAATTAAAATATGTAAAAGGCAGACAGTTTGAACTGCCGCCACACGACATAATGCTCTTTATGTCAGATTTTCCTTAACACAGTCGGTCACCTCCAAAAGCAGTGCCTCTCCACACTCGGCCTGTCACAAGCTGGAATGGTCTGGTGGAGATCTCCTGTCCAGCTCCGGCCACACCGATGATAACACTCTCCCCCCATCCTTTGTGGCACGCCTCCAGAGCAGCTCTCTGACAAAATAAGATGGTAATAATCCTGGTGTTTGTGAAAAGCCTCATCTTAACACTGTTTCATATGCAATTGCTTTACTATGGACATGTAGCACTCAACCAGGGTGACACAGGGATATGTTTAATTTAGCAAAGCTTTTATTTCTGCTGCACAGAGTCAGCATCTCTCACCATGACTTGCACGTTTCCAATGCACTCAAAAGAGTAGTCCACTCCTCCGTCGGTCATCTCCACCAGCACATCCTGGATGGGCTTGCTGTGGTCCTTGGGGTTCACAAACTCGGTGGCACCAAACTCTTTTGCTTTCTCAAACTTTGCAGGGTTCATGTCCACGCCGATGATCCTGGTCGCTCCGGCAACCTTGCAGCCCATAACAACAGCCAAGCCGACAGCTCCGAGGCCAAATACGGCACATGTGGAGCCAGGCTCAACCTAGGGCATGAAGAGGAAAGACAATAATAGAGTTTGTATTGGGGTATAATTTTGCACAAAGTAAATTTGCATTAAATTTCAAAGCTCTGTAGCTTTGTGCCATTAAATCACACAGTGATTTCCCTGAGAGTTTAAATCAATCAAAGGAGACAAAAGATGGCAAAAACATTGAACAAACTTAACTGTAAAGGACCATGAATGTCTGTTAATTTTATATTTAACTCTAATTAATACATGTAAAAAATGATTTGGGGCCTGAATCATGTCTCTTTTAAAATAACAACAATTAGAAACAGACCCTTTTGGCAATTCACATCAAATCTGCATAAATAAGTGTGACCCACTTCAGGGTGAAACCTGCAAACAATGACAAAAAACCCTCCTCTCTTGTCTTTGTGTCCTCTGGGTGAACTTGTTCTGCATAACAAGCTTTAAACAATAAAATGTGTCACAATTTTCCAACGGCTGCTTAGACATAAACTCAAGAACAAGAGAGGGATACCTCCTCTGTTTCTCCTCCTGAGGTTACTTCCATTTTTCCACCCAGCGTGGGTTTGCTTGGAGGGAGTCTTTCCTTATCTAAAGTTCTGGTTTTAGGCATTTAAAAAAAGACTCATTAATTTCTTTTTCTAGTGAGGATGTTTATACTTGTGTGGCCGATATTTTTACCCACCTTGGCGGTGTTGAGAGCAGCTCCATAACCGGTGGAAATGCCGCATCCAAGAAGGCAGATTTTATCCATCGGAGCTTTCTCGTTCACCTTCGCCAGAGAGATGTCAGCCACCACAGTGTACTCAGAGAAGGTGCTGGTCCCCATGAAGTGAAACACCTGCTTTCCTTTGCAAGTGAAGCGTGAGGTGTTGTCAGGGAGCAGGCCGCGGCCCTGAGTAACCCTGAAAGGTGAAAGCACGTGGAAGAGATGGTTTCTTTTAAGCATGCAGAGAGTGGTTAGAGTGAGTCGCTGGGTGCTTCAATTTAGGGCAGAGAGGGAGACTCAAACTTATGATGACTGTGCTTTGATTCATTTGGCCTGGGGCACCGGAGGCTGTAAGTTCAGCATCTGAGGTTGCAAGTTCTGCCACAAAGAAAAAAAAACTTTTCTTCACCAACTCAAGGTTCAATTCTGAGTCTGGAAGTGTTACCTGATTTTCTGGCAGAGGTTGGTCTTGGGATTTTTGCAGAATTTACATTCCCCACACTGAGGCACATACAAGGGGACAACAGTATCACCTAGACAAAGAAAATTAAAATTATTCAAGTCATATTGTTTTACAACAGCATAAAAAGGAATACATGTCATTGAAAGCTTTGTACCTGGCTTGAACTTGGTGACACCCTCGCCTACGCTCTCGACTATCCCTGCACCCTCGTGACCCAGGATGACAGGGAAAAGCCCCTCAGGGTCACTTCCACTCAGAGTGTAAGAGTCAGTATGACACACTCCTGTGGCGAAGATCTGAAAGCACAGTGTCATTTAAAGTTCAAAGCGAAGCATGAGGCAACAATTGCAGGAGTGAAGTATAAAAGATCTTAGGCCTGTCATTAACAAATTTTTAATCATCTGATATCTAAAATGGGGCTCTGTTATGAATCATTAAAAAAATACAAGTCTATCTTCAAAGCTTTAAACTTTGAGCCTGCTGAGTTATTTCTCCAGAAATGACTGTGAAATTATTTCCCTGCTTCTCGTGCTGATAAAAGTTTGACCCCTGTAGTTTAATAAAGTTTAGATATTTCCAACATGACATGTACTGTATGTCTGAAATGTTTCAAAAAATGTATAATTTTGCACATGTTGTTAAACTTTCAGAAAAGTGACATTTTCACAAGGGGTCAACTTAGGACAGTGGTTCTTAACCGGTGGATCCTGACCCAAAAGTGGGTTGCGGACACGTTCTGGATGGGTCACAAACAGCTGGTAAGAAAAGTATATATTTAATATTGTGTGATATTTGTTAGATATTCAATATTTTGTGTAAAATCAGTAGTTGTTGTCCTCATGTTGTCCCCTTCATGTACTCATAAATGCACTTTACTCAATTAAAAAAGTGGATTTATGTTAAAGATTAGAGTCTTTAAAGTTTTTTTATATATATATTTAAAAAAATACATTTGCTTGGTTTGAATTCCATAAAAGTGGGTCACGACTTAAGGACCATGGGAAAATGTGGGTCCCAGAGTGAGACCAGCTGAGAACCACTGACTTAGGATGTTTTAATCCAGACTCTCATGTTGAGTTGGGTGTTTCTGTGACAGTGAAGTGTTATGCAATGGTTTAGTTTACCTTAATGCGGACTTCATGGGCCTTTGGTGGTGCTACCTCCACCTCTTCAATGGAAAGAGGTTTCCCAGCTTCCCAGGCAACAGCTGCCCTGCACTTGATCACCTGAGGACAAAGTACAGGGGAATACAATACAAAACAATTGCTGAAATATCAACTAATTGCAGCCAGTGGTTAACTTGGGCTTTTGCATTATCTGTGACTGGGAAGGTTTTAGCTGCAAAGTGGAGCTGCCCTTTGGACTATATCCAAGATCATGCAAAGAGATTCCCACTGATTTATCATAGAAGTGACAACCTGCTGCTGAATCCCTCATTTCCGTCTTTAGTTGAACAATTGAATCGTGGAAATACCCAAACTTACTTTTACTGATTGAAATTGCTTTCTTAAACATTATCAATAGACATTCCTCTGCTCACGCTTGTGCAGCAACTTGCACAGACCAGCTGCAACTGACCAGTGAGCAAAGATCTCCGGTAAGTCATCGACAAATGAATCTTTGTGGTTATTCATTCAACGAGCGTCAATATGTGCAGTTTGATTAAAAAAAGGCGTTTTTAATGCTCCAAGTGTACTTTGAGTCACCCCTATAACTCACACATGACACCGTAATGCATTCATTTACACTTTTTGGTGCATATTTTCTGAGGATCGCACTTACTTTTCCAGCTGTCTCCATGTTCGTTTCTTCAGCGCGAGAGGAGGACGGGGGCGGCGCGCGGACGTAAAGGAGTTTTCGTCCGGACCAATCAGAAACGAGGGGCTGAGGGCTACGCGTGACGCAGGCGCGTTTAGGAGGAAAAACATGCCATGAAATGTGGACTACAGCAGGGTAAAAATACAGATATCTATGTACGGTTTAACCCTAGAACACTATCGCTCAAATTAGTAACACCATCACTATCGCCGGGTGATTTTTAACCAATCCAATCCGCTTTATTGGAGTCTACCAAAGTGCTGCACAATAAAATTAATATATATATTATATATTCTTAACTGTAATGTGAATATGACAGATTAACAGTGAACTAAGTCAATAAATGAATCCAATAATTTTGTCTGTTTCTACATATTACAGAGTTATAGGATAGAGTATCTTTCAGAGAAATAAATCAGCTTTATTTTGTAGATTTCAGTGTAGTTATCAACAGTTCAAGAGTGTCAACCTGGGGAAAGGGGCCCACACAGGTTAAATAATAATTGGCAATGAGTACAGGGAGAGGTCTGTAGATAACATCTTAATATGGGGGCATATATTTAGCACAACAACCTTGTGAATTATGAGGGCATGATATAATATTTTTAATTCTACTTTACAAGTCAAAAAAATGGGAAAAAGACAAATCCTGTGTCCCCGTCAAGCTGTTTTAGCCTTTTTTTGATAGGACAGCTTAAGAGGGACAGGAAGCGTGTGGGGCAGGGGAAAAGAGAAATCAGCAAGCAAACAGGCATGGCCGAGTTGTCAAGCCAGGAACTGATAAGAGGACACCAGGCCAACAGCACCCCACTCACTGTGAAGTCCACTCTCATACCTCTATGCACTGCAGGTGTCAGGTTTCTTCAGCAGTTTGCATATTGGGCTGTGATTAACTCTTTGAACCTGAGCTTTGTGTTGTTAGAAAATCATGGTTACATGCCTATGCCTTGCACTCAGATTGATGATGATAAAACCCCTTTAGTAGGTGAATTGGACACATTCAGTTGTCATATACTGTATATGAATAAGAAAAGAAAAATAGGTAGTGAGTAGAGACATACAAAGCATCCTTGGAGGAAAAAGATGTTTTTTTTTTTGCTTCAGAGCAGAAATTAGTATCATAAACCTTGGTAGCAGGCACCAGAATCCCTAGTCTAACAAAAACGTATCCAGCTTTATCAACATGGGCTCCAAATGCCGATCATAACATTCTGTCTATGCTGTACAGCGGCCACTCACGACTACCTGGTTCTGTAGGTCTGTTTAACAGAACCGGTGATCCAATAACTTGCTCTGTTAATTTGTGAGTTTTTTCTCAGTGCTTTCTTCCCTTTACACAACATGTTGTTTTAACTTTCTATTAAATGACTTTGAAGTTAGTCGCTTCACCTCACTTCTAAAAACAGACAGTTACAAAAGTGTACAGATACAAAGTGCCTTTTAATCAAGGCCTTCAGCAAAAATAATTACAGCAATCTGCTTTAGATCATACAAAGTATGTGTATTAAAATCTTTTCAAAGAACAGTTTACAAAGTATAAACTCATACACTGTTTGTTGAGATTTAATGTGTCTTTCATGAAAATATGGTCTGACAATTTAACACAATCTGTGAAGGATAATGACAAGCATGTTAACAATGAAAAACATCGATCCTCTCCTGCTGACTGAAAGGTCCACACTATGTGACACAGAGGCATACATATGAACCTTTTAAATAAAAATCATGAAGATCCATCAAACATATTAAACTGGTACAAAAAAAGAAAAAAACAAAGTCCATTCAAGTCCTACAAAAAGAGGCAGGGTCCATATTCTGGGTCCAAAGGGCCAGGTTTTCAGGCCTTTTGGTGTCCGATCATCTCCCACCTACAGGTCAATAACAAAAATGAGTTACTTCATGGCAGAAAAGACAACAGATATAATATTGTAAAAGAGACCGACCTCTGAATCCACGTCCGCCTCCTCTGAAGCCTCCTCCACCACGTCCACCTCCTCCTCTGCCCCCTCCAAATCCTCGACCACCTCCAAATCCTCCACGTCCACCACCACCCCTGCCACCCCTGAAACCACCTAAAACAAAAACAGAGCAGATGTTTACAAGCTTTGCCTTAAGTATAGAAAAAAAAGAAAACCCCATGTTTTCATTCTCCTACCTCCACGACCACCACCTCTTCCTCCACCGCGGCCTCCTCTAGGTGGGCCCTTCTCTCCTGGCGGCCTAGGGAGGAATCTCTGAAGTGGGAGGAGCTTCATTGGATCTATATAAAACTTAAAAAGACAAAACAAATTATTAAATTAGTACATACAATACATGCAAGCTCAAAAAACCCTTAAATAACTTCAAAATGGTTACACAAAAATCATACCTTTTGCAGTTTCTTAAACGAAGATGCCTTCATGTTTTCAGACAGTTTGACTGAAAAATACTGCAAAGACTGGTTAAGAAATTAACATTGTCTTTTCTCTAGTAACATCAGTATTCAGTCTTAAGAAATCATCCCATGTCAGTGTTCATTACAGGTTGTTTAGGAGGTCCAGAAATTGAGAAAGGATACAAAGTCTCTGAGCTGGCCAAATATCTCATCCACCTTCCCGATCTGCTCTTTGTTTTCCAAGTAAACTGGGGCGTTGAAGTAGGGGACTTTGTTTTCATCTGTTGTACACTTGCACACAATATCATCTTCACATGGATGCACGAACTCTCCCAGTGCTGTGGAGGAAAACCAAATAAAACAAAGATGAGTTTTTTTAAAAGTTGCTTTTGCCATCATGATGAGGGCTCTGGTATCTATTATCTACCCTCCTGTGGTGGGCTTAAAGAGCCATTTGCCAAAACTTTTGTCACAGTAGTAAAATTTAATGCAATATGAACAATGAAGCTGCAGTGTCAGTGACAAATAACTTGTGCTCACTGTGCAAAAGAGATGGAACAAACTATCCTTGTTTTCTCAGCTCAAGTGTTTAGAAAGTCTTGAACATTTTTGTTTATTATTTAACAAAGCAAAAAAAAAAAAATGAAACAGAATTTTTACTTTTCAGTTCTCACAGAGTTGGCTCTGCGGGAACTGAAGAGTAATGTGCTTTAAACAACACCCTAAACATGTCTAAAAGGTGTAAATACAACGGATAACGCAAACTGCCTTAGCAATTCTTTATCCCAACCTTGAAATTGGGGCAAATCCTATCAAATCTAGTTCTTCAGAGAAAAAAAAACAGCCGTGAATGCAACTTACAAATTACAGCATCAATGGTGATTATGTTGTCAGAAAATCTGGGTTTTATGTCCAAATTTAGCACAAAGATTGAACCTGATTGGTTTTATCTATTCTCAGACCCTGCAGATTTAGGAGAACTCTTATAGGGGAGAGTGGGGTAGGATGAGCCATTTTTCATATTTCAGATCACTACATCAAGGCAATCATAGTTTTGTCTCTAACTAGTGTATCTGCATATATTTCAAGATGTTGTGCATCCCTGCAAACCAACAGAATGAGTGTAAACAGAACTGTCTTGATAATACAGCATGCAAAAAAAGTGGTCTCCTATGGTCATCTTACCCTGTGTATGGGGTAAGTTGTCCATAGGAGCGTAAGTTGATCCGTATCCCTACTACCCCCCCACTCTCCACCCCAGCCCTCCCTCACCTTCTCTCCACCTAAATAACAGTCACTTCTTCACATTCATGTGTATTTTTATCTATTATAGGCTATTCAACTGGTACAATAATACTTTTTCTTAATATTGCATATAACTGCTAAAAAGCTGTTTTGTACAAATCTATTTTAACATGGATTTAACTAAGCTAAAATGGTGGACTTTTATGCAAAGTTTTTGACCTCACGTTGTAGCTAATTTATACCACAATCGATGTATAAAATAATTTTAAAATGATCTTTTTTGGTCTGAACACAATTTTAATAAAACTTATGACAGACTAAATTCACTTTAAAGAGTGAAAAAATGTTTTTTTTTTTTGTAAATAAATGTCGAACCTCTTTACCCATGTGCTTCTAACCTTCACAGACTCCATGAATTGATGCACATCTCCTTAATATTTGGTTACATGATCAATTTCTTTTACCATTTCTAAGCAACAGGGGGTGGCTCAACTTACCCCACTCTCCCCTACTCTGATATGACAGTATCTCACTGGGTTTGAGACTTTGTGATCTTACCAACAACATGCTCTGGAGGACCGTAATCTTGCTGTCTGTTGAAACCCCCTCTTCCACCACCTCGTCCATACCCTCCACCACCTCTTCCTCCTCCATATCCTCCTCCTCCATATCCCCCTCCTCCTCGACCACCTCGGTTAAATCCTCCACCTCTCCCACCTCCACCACGTCCACCTCCTCCTCTGAAAGACATGTTGCTCCCGAGTCTTTTTTCCTGTGAAACACGAGAATGTAGTCAAGAAAACACATGGGCAACAGATCACATTGGCAGGCACTTAGGTGGAGTTGAAGCTAACATGCTAACGCAGTCATTCAAACTTCTAAACACGAAAACATCTTCTTGTAAAAATTCTTTCTTAAAAACCTGACAGCACATGCTCTAAAATGTTACCACTGAAAAGCTCGAAACTCAATACGCGCACAAAATGGTGAAATAACTCACAAATCTGATCCTCTCCGAGCAGCTATTTACTCCGAGCGGTTCCCATGCGATGACAACACGTGTGTGAGCGTCGTCAGCCGTAAAGCCGCTCTCAGTGTCGCAAAGTGTCGTGGCTGTGCAAGACATCCACGATATTTAAAGGCGTAGCCGGTCATTACACACTGTTTAAATAGAGAGGTTGGTGTGGATGAGTTTACTTATTTCAGTTTCAGAATCAAAGCGTGAAGCAGGTTATATGTTTGACCTTTTGTTGTGTGGATTTAGAAGTTGATTGATTTTCTCCTTTCTTCTGATCGAATTCAGGAACTTTAATTGGAATCTCAGAGCGACAATGTCAACAGCTGGGAAGGTATGCAGTATGAGTCATTTGCAGTGTTTACTCTCTGTGACATGAATTTAGATATGATACATGGAATTTTGAAAGTATATGCTTCTGTTGATTTGACTCTGCCTGGTTTGACATGTGGTGTGTGTTTTGGCTTGTTTTTGGGGGTGTTTCATAGCTAATTACGAGCTATTTTTGGCTTTCTTGACAACATTCATTCTCATACAGACTTCCCCCCTCCTCCTTACAGGTGATAAAGTGTAAGGCAGCTGTTGCGTGGGAGCCTGGGAAGCCCCTGTCTATTGAAGATGTGGAAGTGTCCCCTCCAAAAGCCAATGAAGTCAGAATTAAGGTCAGCTGCATATCACATGTTTGTGTATCATATGTAAAAGAATAACAGTGACTACAGACTTGTCCAGACTTAGCCCTGCTGCAGACTTCTATCATTGACAGTCTGTCAGCTGGGTTTGTTTAAAAGTTACATAACTCATGTAAGCTGTATCAGGAGAAAGATGCTGGCAGCACAGACGGCCTTACTTCACCTTTCGTAGTAGGAAACATCAGACTTCCTCTGTTTGTTTCCTTTTTAACAACTCTATTGAGACGGAGAAAAAACATGCACATAAAAGGACTGAAAGAGATAGTGCACTCAGAACAACAGAGCCAATAAGCGCGATAACAAGACAATAGTGGAGGCAAGAAGAAAAGAATGAAATGAGTAGGCATCTCTTTTATTTAGTTATTTGAGGTGGAATATTTGTTTCTATAAAACCCAACTCTTTTCTACAGATAGTTTACATTAATTTTAGACAATGTTGTGTTTCTCTATTATAGTTTATGGCTGCAAAAGGAAGTGACTTTGATATGTATTTTAACTTAAAGCTCCTGTGAGAGTCACGTTTGGTGACCCGGCGGACAAAGCAGTCTTTGCTTAACCTATCCTTTTGTTACTGTTGTATCAATGTCAAAATCATAAATCTTGTTGCTGGTGGTCTAGTCTGCTTTTGTGTATTAAAAAAAGCATCAATATGAATTTAAACCTGTTTCAAAACTGTAAAAAAAATCCTCACAGGATTTAAATGTTAAATGTTTTAACCAGCAGAATCTTAGTTTTCTTATTTGGGGACAATCTTCATCCAGACAGTGCAACATAATGTTCAAAGGTGTAAGTTAAAGACAAGTATTACTTGGCCATAGCCTGTTTTGGATGATTGCCAACATAACTTGCATATCATGTGGGCGTTGCAAAAAACACCTTGTCTTCTACACCCTCAGAAAAATCTACATTATGGTGCTTGTTTATCTGTAAATGTGCATTTTTTTGCTGGGATTTTTTTTAGAAAATCTCCTACAGAAAGATCCTTGTTCCTTGTGAATATAAATAACCATCTAAAAACCTCCTCATGTGTCAACACCCTTCCTGTTTGCACAGGTGTTTGCCACGAGTGTGTGCTACACAGACTGGGAGTACCTGTATGAGAGTGAAAAAGGGAAGAAGTTTCGACCATTCCCTTTAGTTCTTGGCCATGAAGCAGCAGGGATAGTGGAGAGTGTTGGTTCAGGAGTGACCAAGTTCTCACCAGGTACACTTGAAAGATCAGAGAACAGAGGCTCATATTCAGTTTGGATTAATGTCTCCTGACTGGAAAGGCTTATCTGTTTTTTTTTTTTTCCACCACAGGTGATCAGGTTATTCCTCTTTTTCTGCCACAGTGTCAGGAGTGTGATCGATGTCGGAGCCCAAAAACAAATCACTGCAGGAAGAACTGGTGATCTCATTACTGTTTTAACACAAACACACCCGACTAATCTTTTTGGCTTCACTGCTTCCTAACTATGAATCTTTCTCCTTTTTGTGACTTTTAGGGAACATATGCAAGGTGGTGTGATGGCTGATGGCACAAGCAGGATAAGTTGTCAGGGTCAGCAGATTTACCAGTTCTTAGGTGTGAGTACTTTCTCCCAGTACACGGTGGTTCCTGACACCTCGCTTACAAAGATAAGGAATGATGCACCGCTGGAAAAAGTGTGTCTGCTGGGCTGTGGTGTGTCCACTGGGTATGGTGCTGCCATGAAAACAGGAAAGGTAAGAAACAAAAGCATGGCAGTCCTGCATTTGTAGCCAAAACAAATACTACTACTACTACTCATCAACTCTGACATGGACAAGTGATTTTGTGTGCAAAATCTACCTGTTGGAAAGGTTAGAGGGATGCCAGTGCAACAAATTTACAAAGATCTATCTTTAAACTTGACCTTTTTAGATATTTGAGCTTATAAAATATAAATTTAAACTCCAAAAGATAAACTTTGTACCTTGAATTCACTTTTTCCTGACTTGCTGCCAGATGAGGTCAGCTGCATCATTCAGGAGTGTGGTTTTTCATTTACCCCACTAGGTGGCATTGGAGAGCGTTGAGTGACACCTTTGTGTACACGATAAAGACTGATAGCTTCCTATCCCCCAATAAAGAATATAAAATAAAGTGGTAATGTTTGTGGAAAAGACTTGAGCTCTTTAGAAATAAGAACAATGTGGATAAATTATATGAAACTTATTCTAGAAACTCAGCAAACCGACTGCAGTGAATGGAGCAGAAACAAAGTTAAACTTTTTTAAGTTAATTTAATTTGAATTTGGTTGAATTTCCTTCATTCAGATTCATTAAGAACTCCTGCCATGAATTATGGAAATAAAGGCTGTTGTTTCAGCAGCAGTTTTGAACAGTAAAGGCAGATATGTACCCATGTTAATGCACATGATCTTGTTTTCTTTTGAAGGTCATGTACAGGGGTCAGCATCAACTTCAGTCTGTGTTATGACCAGCCAAAAGTCCTCACATGAGCCATTTGTAAGAAATTAGTAATGTCAATTACATATATGCTCAAAAATGGTCTAAAACGGAAACTATAGACCAGGTAGAAAAGGAAAAATAAGTAAGTAAACTTTATTAAATAACACTTTTAGTGACAGAGATCACAAAATGCTCTAAAGAAAAAAGAGAGAAAGCTATAATACGGTGGACCACCACATCCTCATAGGGCTGTTTGAAGTTGTCTGTTGCCTGATTCTTTAACCGTTTACGTCCAGGTTGAAAAAGACTCCACATGTGCTGTGTTTGGACTCGGTGCCGTCGGCCTGGCTGCTGTCATGGGCTGTAAGGCTGCCGGAGCGAGGAGGATCATTGGGATTGACATCAACCCTGACAAGTTCGGGAAAGCCATGACGCTCGGAGCGACTGAGTGTGTGAACCCCGACGATCACACAAAGCCTATCCAGGAGGTGGTGGTGGAGCTGACAAACGGAGGGGTGGACTTCGCTTTGGAGTGTGTTGGCTATCCAAAAGTCATGGTTTGTGTCTCTGTCTTAATCCTACAGTAGTCACACTTTAACCAAACAACAGGTCTGTGATCCAGTATGTGTGCACAATCACATATGAAGAAAATGGTTAAATGACTGTAACTGTCATTTGTTTGTTGTTAGAGAGATGCGCTGGAGTCTACCACAGAGGCGTGGGGCCTGTGTGTCATTGCTGGTTGGACAGAGGCAGAAACAATGTGTGTCCCTGTTGAAAAGCTCCTGATGGGACGCACCTTGACGGGGACTTATTTTGGAGGTGAAGAAATACTGGGCCTATAAATACATGCAAAAACAGAGAATGTTGTCTTTCCAAAGTGCATAAGTAAAATAAAAAATTCAGTGTATTATAATTGATATGTAATGTATATTATCCTCTATCTAAGGTTGGAAAAGTGTGCAGGATATTCCTAAACTGGTGGATGAGTACATGAATCTAAATTTGAAGCTGGATGAATTCATCACACACAAACTCCCTCTGCGTCAAATCAATGACGCCTTTGACCTTCTGAATTCCGGAGCCAGGTAAGACTTTGATTTATATATGTTTTTAGGTTCTTCTCATGATTAAAATGACAAGAAATAACTCAGTTTTTTGTATAAACTGTTGACAGAATTGCACTCCAATGAAGCAACAATGCCGTTATGTAGATAAAAAAAGTATGATTCTTAGTTTTGATTTATTCATTTATTTACACATAAGGAAATATTTAAGAAGAAAATTTTAGTTACATAAGAATATGAGGAAGAAATGCCTAAAGAAACCACCAGAGACTTCCAAAATGGGTTTCTCCAATTAGAAAGTCAATAGTCAAAGCTGTGAGTATAAAAATTAATACATATTTTATGTTTGTACCAATATAAAACATATGAACAAGACAATAAAAAAAAATTGCCCATAGTTTGTAACGAGACTAAGTTATCTACACATAGCAAAAAACCTCATGTAATCCTGAACAAAGAGATGAACTGTGAACCATAGTGAGACATCACAGTTTATTTTAAATGAAAAAAGGTAATTAACTGCACTCGTACGTCTACTTAAAGCTAAAATATAAAGACACTTTTATTTATGAGTGTTCATGCTGATACTTGTGTGAATTTCTAACCCCTCTTGTGAGAGTGTTGAACAGAATTAGCAAAGCCTACTCTGTACTATATATAAACAAGTCAGATCAAGGTAATTTCTATAGCTCATCTAAAAAACAGTTGAACCAAAGTGCTTTACAAGTCTAAAAACAGACCATCACAGTCAAATATGGGTTAAAAGACAATAAATAACGCAACAAGAACAGATTAAATAGAGACAATTGGATTAAAAAATCAATAAATAAGATACATATAAGTCACTTTACCAAACCCAGTTCTCCAAATTCACCTACCTGTTTTTCTGTCTTATGTCAATTCCATCCTTAAATATTGAATATCATAGATTGTTTTATATTTCATGTCAACATAGTCTGTTCTGCTGAATGCTACTAAATTACACACAACACGTCAAACCAACTTCAATATGTTTTACAAATGTCATCCTTTTATGTGATTAGTTATTTATTTTTATTAATGTTTCAGGTCTTTATCATGTTTCTCCTTTCTTTTACAGCATCCGGACTGTGATCAATCTTTGGTAGAGTGAGGCTACAACGATAAAAACCCAAGAAGATTATGATTCAACAATCTTTGTCTTTGTATCTTACATTGTTTACAGCTCTGTGTGTGTCAGCTATTTTTTAGAGAGCTTTGACATTATAAACTTGCTTATACCTGTCTTTGTAGCAGACGAGCCTTCTGGCCACTAGATGGCAGTCTTATGTCATGTAAAATCACCTATGCCGGTGTCTTTGGTTGCCATCAAACTTCGACTATTATGAAGTGATTGTGGCTTTTCTTGGCAAAAGATTCTGTATTTATCAGGTGCAAATGTTTGGCATGTTTTTGGTGCAGCAAAACTTGATCAGAAGAAAGAAACACCTCAAGAGTTTGATATGGATTTTGTAAAAAATAAATGCTGGAAGAATTCCTTGAATATAAATTATATGCAGCCTCAAGTATCAGTCTGGTTGTGGCGTTATTGTGAAGACGTATTTGGAACTGAATACTCTTGTATAGAAGACAAAGACAGGAAACAAATGGCTGAATCTGTCATCAGCTGCAGAGAAGTATCTGCTTCATGTGGTCAGGCTTACCAAATTTCGTCCTTGGTAATATTATATATTGATTTAATACGCAGGGAGCCGTCGAAGAGGGCTAACGTGACAGTTGCGGGCTGTCAGGAGAGAAGACAAAAGATAGTTTGGGGAATGCTCCTCGGTTAAGAGCTGAAATAGCTGCTGGAGGAATTTGTGTTCCTTAAGTTCCATCAGATCAAATGAAAATGCTCAGTGGTGTCGTCTGCTTTTCCATCTTTGTTTAAAATGGAAAATAAATTGAGGCTCTTCTTTTGTGTGCTATCAGTTACAAATATACAGCCCAGATTCCCTCCTCTTCCTCCTCCCAAAAAAATCCCAAAGTAAAGAGACTTTTGGAGACCTAGAAAGCACAATAACGCAGAGGAAGATCAAAAGAAAGAGGAAGACAAGTCCTGACAGGTGGTTATATGGCTGTGCACCCTCATCTATAAATGCTAGACGTGTTCACAGATTTATAAGGCTTTCTTGGGGACATGTGTCTGAATGTCTGCCCTGTCTATGGGAAAAGTATCCAAAGAGACGACCATAAGTCTCCTCCTTTTTCCCGTTTGTCTTTGAACTCCCGAACCTCTGCAATTGTCACATCATTGTGCAACCGATACACGCCATCTAAGTTACAACCACGGCATTGTCCACATTTTTGAACCTCTTATCTGTCCGTTCTGTCATTTTTCTCAAACATCTGTGCAACTTTTCTGCAGAAATCAGAAACTTCAAACTTCCACAGCTCTGAACAGCGACTAAAAGAAAACCTAACATTTGCAAACCTCCTCTCTCATTTTTATGTCTCTGTTGGTTTTTCTTTCCCTCTTTTACTCATGACGTCATTGTGACAACTCTTTCAGGCCCGAGTCTTCATAAAGATAATTGACAAACAACAGAAATGCCAGATGAGGTAAATGCCATCACACAAATAAAAGCACGGCTGGAAGAAAAAAAAATGTCAAAAAGTGCTGCCTCGCCTTTCACAATATTTAGATTGGGATTTAGAGATTTCCTGTTATTTATTAAGCTGTATTCCTGAGTGACTGACAGATGATGGCTCGTTGAATATGATGAAAGCATGAAAGAGTTAGTGGGAAAAACCCTATTTGAACAGAGTGTGGCTGTATTGTGAAGAAAACACACACCTCTACACTTTTAAACACACTGTCATGACAAATGCATCCGAGCATACATGAAAAAGTGCATGCCGTATGGTTTGGTCTTCTGAGGGTACTTTTTGTTTAAAACAATTATCAGTGCTGGATATCTTATAATACAACATCTTCAGAGAATTATCATATTTATTTTGGCTGTTTCTCCGTCTAAATCACTGTTAGTGTCAGTATTTCTTAACAAGTATACTACACTGGATTCTGTATGATTTCTTATTCTACTATCACAATATTTCTGACAAGATACATTAACCTAGTCTGACCCAAAGTTAAGACTTCAAACCATCAAAACACAATTTTGTTCTAGTATAGAAAACTTCGATTTTGTTAATATTCTCTAATTTCGTTTAAACTTTACACAACCTTCAAAAACCTGTGAGATATCGTAAAGCTGCTAATGAACAAGCAGCAACCTCCAGTTTTCAGAAATGAAGTTGGCGTTGCGCCGACACAAGCTGCAGTACCTCAAGAGTCCACTTGAGGCTGGCTCCAAGAGTCCTGAAAATGTCACACACACCCACTCAAAAATGGTTCTCTTTACAGGAAGAATAAACATGATTGCTGCCTTACTGAAAAACAAAACAAAAACAACAACTTTGATATGATTACTTTAAATCTCTATTTTCACAATCTGTATGGGGATTAACTCTTTTATAACTCAGTAGTTTTGAAGATATTAAGATTAGGGGTTTTAAAGCTCGGTAGGGAACTTTTTTTTGTAAATAAGCAGTGACATCTCTATGTTGTACAAAGGTAAATAAGACTATCAATGTCAACATATATAATTTCTTTATGGTACTTTTTAATGTCTTTAACTGCTGTAGGGGGAAGGTACAAAATAGCCTTTGTTAATTTTACTACTCTGAATATTCATAAGTGATAAATTTCACTGTAAAAAATAAATAAATAAATAAATAAATAAAACAGCAGGAGGAGATTTTTTGTGAATTAACACCACTTAACGAGGGCGAAACAAAATTAGTTACCGCACTGTCTACAGGGGGAGCCAAAAATGACCTAACCCAATAGTTCCAGCTTTAAGATTAAAAAGTTATCTGTATGCAGAGACCTTCACTGTGTTATCCATGATAAGTATTTTTCTCAGGAGATATTTTAATGTGTCGTACTCGGAGAAGACAAAATTAAAAAAATGTTAGTCATGATATTTTCATTCTGTTTAGTTTGAAGGCCTGGTAATGTCAGCTCACTCTCATGGTTGACTCTAAACATTTAAACTCATAATGCTTGCACCTTTTTTTGTCTCTAAAAGTAGATAACTTTTAGAGACATATTATGTGAGACAACAGACAATTGAATTTCCCTTTGTGGAATAATAAAGTTCTTCTTATTCTTACAATAACAAGTTAAAGTCTGCTGTAAAGAAGAAACCCAACTATTTAAAGCACAAATTAGTTTCACTCTCTTGTTAAGGACCAGCACGGGGCTTCTCATGTGTACAATGACTACATATGCCATCGCACACTTTCTGCACCTGTTAACTTCATTAAACATACACAGACATAAATCATCCACAAAAACAACTGTATTAACATGAGTGAGACAACAGCTTGAGGGGAAATCATGTCTGAAAGAGACATAGTCAGTCACACAGAGACACAGAGCGATGGATATACTGTATAACCCCAGCGGCTATGGAAGAACGGCCCACTTAAGTCAGTAAAGACTGCCAATGTGAGGCCCCTGTTTTATCAGCAAATCCAGGCCATTATACGGCTAATGCCAGGCATTGCCTGTGACATCCCCGGTCTTTCTGTGACACGGTTAGCTTTAGCTCCTGTGGCAGTGGAATATACCCAGCTTCACCAGAGGACAGCACAGTACAGTGTGAGTGTTTTAAATCGGCAGCTAAACTACAGCTGGGAACTGTGCTGTAACAGGTCTATCACATCTCAATCTCAAACACATTCACATTTTTTAACTTTAAAACAAACTGTCTGGTTCTTCCTGATTCTGACTGTTTCACACTAGGTCTGAAAAGGGTTTTAAAACCAAGCACAAATACTTCAATAAAAAGGCAAATGCTCGAGCTCTTTAGGGACCGCATATCCTGAAAAATCTAAAATACAAGTCTCACTGGAAGTTTGTTTTTGTCACAGGGGTAAACTAGGGCTCTGGTTTTCACTGAGTTCTGGCATGAAGACCTCCATATGGTTAGGCGATGTGCAGTTTTTATGCAGGTGTGCAGCTTTTTCTAGTATCATCTTTTATAACTACCTAGCCAGATACCTATACATGAGCTCAGCCTACAGAAGCAGTAAAATTGTGACCTACTGACCATGACCAATTTGCCGAGACCTGAACCCTCAACTTATTTTTTAAGTCTCACAAAGAATTACGTACTTCATAATAAACTATTTTTTCCTTTCAATGTGTGGTTATGATCCAGTTAGGGAGGACATTTTAAATGGTGTTCCTACTCTACTAGACTGGTCTGCTTTGCTATGTAACCTGCATGCCTTGAAGAAGTTCCTTGCTCCTTCAAGCGCCATCTTCTGGGTAAAATATCACAACACCATCTCTGCATTTTTGTCTTGTGTTTTGGTCATGTTGGTGTATGGGACACAGCTCACTTTTTAGATGGCAAAAAAGAAAAGGAAGTAAAAGTGTCTAATGCACTGAATTTTAGGCTAGATAAGAGATAATGTAGAGTGAGTAGGTGGTTAAGTGAATCAGAATTCCAACAGGGTGAGCAGGACAAAACAGCAGAGGGATCTTGATGGCAGCAAACAGTTTTGCACCAATGTTTACGACGCTAATACTGATGATTTTGCCACAGTGTCAACAGGCAGAGGTGAAAATGCTTCAGACTTGATAAGTTTGTGATAAGGCTGTCCCTGGCACTGCTTTTTCTGTTGAAAATCATCATTACAGGGTTTTGACCAATCAGAATTAAGTATTTGACACAGCTGGGTAGTAAAAACATAGAATTTAAAGTAGTCGACAGCATTTTCTTGCCATGCTCTGAAACTTTAACAGGCTTTGTTGTGACACAAAACCCTAAAACGATGTGGCATGCTCTCCTTGTAAAGCTATGCAATCCATTATGCCTCATTTCTTGTAATCTGTCAGTCATACTGTGTCAGATTTTGCAATTACAGCTCATGTGGGTAACTTTTCAGTTCGTGTCACACAAGGCGCCCCATGTGGAGAACACAGTCTTTACTTATTTTGTCCTCCACACACTAAAGTAGAGCCATCTAATAAAAAAATCTCATCCAGCTGACTTTTGACCTCTACCCCCTCGCACTGGTATTAAAACTACATTATTAAAAAATCTCAATCTCGCTGCTAATGGTCATTTTTACCATTGTAAATCAAAAAAAGACATAAGTAAGAATTTCAGTGCAGTTCATAAAGGTCAAAAAAACCTCACAGGAGCTTTAAGTTGCAGAAAATATAGGTGACAATGAACACAATTAGACCACACATGGATATTACCCAAAGACACAGACATGGACACACACATATAAAGAACTACATGCGTGACAGCTTTAAGCTTTTGTTGTGTTTCGTCTGACAGTAGCAGTAAGGTAGTAATTGAGAGATTAGCGCTAAGGTGCTATCATGGCGCTCCTTTGTTTGGTCGCTCAGTTAGCGGTCACACAGAGCATTACTTGTATGCGTGGGAATGAGTCATACGGTGAGGTAGATGGTGTAGTTTGCCTTAATTTGGAGCTTTTGAATCTGTTGTAATCGACCAGCGCCAAACACAGTATCCATAGCAAAGATGTTTCACTCACAGGTAAATTTCCTACCTTGATTTAAAATCGCAGGATTTTGGAATTGGGTTATTTGCACGTATGAATGTGACAATAACCCATCAACTTTGATAATTTTACATTTCTCAAAGAGGTAAAGTCAGTAATTCTTGAGATATTTGTTCTGATATCATCAACAGACAGGCAGACAGACTTGGACCCCTCTGCCACAATGCTTTTTCAACCTTCCAACACACTGAGTCAACAGAGTCATTTCATGTGGTTTCGGGATTGGATTGGAGTGGGATGGGGGTCGTTATTACTCTCAGACCCTCTGTGTTTGCCCTATAATCCCTGAGAAGAAGTTCACAAG